CCAGAGAAGCTGTGGCTGCTCCTCCCTGGAAGTGTTCTCGGCCAGGTTGGATGAGGCTTTGAGCAACCTGGTCTAGTGGAAGGTGTCCCTGCTGCTGGCAGGGGGGTTGGGACTGGATGAGCTTTAAGGTCCCTTCCAACCCAAACCAGTCTGGGATTCTATGATTTACCAACAGGGCAAGCAGGAGGATTTGGGTTCAAATTGGCTTTCTGGGAACAGTCAACTATTTATTTGACTACTTGGCACAGAGTGGCACTTTCTGTGCTCTGGCCCATTCGCCACCAACCACCCAACAGGACCGAGAAACACGACGAGACTGAAAATACCTTTGGAGCAGACCTCACCTTTTTTCATTTCCTTTTCTTTCTTGAAAATCTTGCCAGTCTCTTCCATGATCATGGCATCTCCCTTCTCACACAGGCAGAGAACCGATGCTCCCGAGTTTGCTGCTTCGACCACCGCACGCAGGACCCCTGAATTCAAACACAGACATGGAGCTGTTGAAACATATTCATGATAAAGAGTCTTAAATCTAAACACCAACCCTCATCATGTGGCACCGTGGTGGAAAGAGATCTGCCTGTTTTCTCCGAGGGACAAGACTCTGGACTCAGCTCTTCAGGATTGTGGTGGAGGCAGAAATCCCACATTTCCATTTTTATTTTGTTTTTTGAGGACGTTTTTAAGGGTAACCCACGTGCTCCTGCCCCGGCCAACGCGCTGCCCGACACAAGGAACCCCACATGCCTTGCTCCATGCTGCAGCTCACAGAAGTTTTGGTGCCTGCACCCACTTTTGGGTGTATTTGAGCACCCAGAAGCGTTTTGGGTCTGGCCGAGGTGACAGCGTGACTCCTGCTCTGGAGGATAAGCAGGGACAGGAGTGGAGAAGCAGCAGTTTTAGTTGAAATACTGCAGAGTCACATTCACAAACTCATCTTGATGGTATCAGAGGAGCCTGGGGGCTGCTGGGGGTGCCACGTTTCGATGGTTTGAGATTGTTTTCCACAGAGAGCGCGAGCGAACAATCGCGCGTTGGGGAGCGTGAGGAGGAAGCGCCGCAGCTTCAGGCACCTGCTTGAGCAGCCCGAGGTCTGTCAAACAAAACAGCCCAACAACTTCACTCTCCCACATTCTTTCTGGAGAAGTCAGAGCTCCAGAAACAGGTTTGAAAATGACTCAGGAGATGGGACGAGCAGTAGATCAAAGGGAACAGGGGCCAGTGCTGCGGACGTGCAGGACCAGAGGGAGGGAGCAGCTGAACAGACTCTGCCGGGCACCAGAGCTGGTTATGTTAGTCCCTTACTCTGCAAAAAGGTGTTTTCAAGGTACCCCACGTGCTCCTGCCCCGGCCAACGCGCTG